AGGCACTTTCTTCACATTGAAGCTGGCTGCACATGGATGATTGTCTTTTCCTTTTGTGTTCTGGTATTTCTCAATGAAAAAAAAAATCACAAAACGTGGAAGATATCATAAAAATCCCAGTTCGGATTTAAGGAACTGCATGTGGCCACCCACCACCTGGAGCACTAAGATTTCAGGATGTGAGCCCCAGGCCTTCACTGCCTCTGCTAGTAAAGACAGGGAAAGAGCATGTTTTTATGGCATTTGCTTTCCCAGATTTCCAGTGTCTTCATAAACCCCCTTCCAAGGCAGTCAGGAATTAAATAAATGACTCTTAGAAATGACTTGCGGCTACTACATACAGCAAGTTGGTTTCTTTCTGGGTGGAGCAGCTATTCCATGATACAGGGCAAGGGCTGCTACTTACACTCTAGGCAGGCATGCAAAAACTGTTTTTATTAAATACTTAAAAAATGGGGACTAGCATGCTTATTGAAGATCATAATTTTAGATGACCTTCCATTTTCTCATGTGATTAGACTGTAACTGACTCAAATACACAGGACTTTAACAACCCTGTTTTGTCATATTGTTAAGTTCGTTATTAACTTGTCTGCTCCATCAATTATACTGATCAAAGCAGAAGGAGGAAAGAGAAAAGCTATTATATGGCTAAATAATCAAATTACAAAATGTTTAAAAAATAAATCCAATTTTAATATAGTTATTCAATCTATTGTGCTTGTGTTTATTTCCCAGTTGCTTTAAAAAAAAATTTAGTTGTTGATGGACCTTCATTTTATTTATTTATATGTGATGCTGAGAATCAAACCTAATGCCTCACACTTGCTAGGCAAGTGTACTACCACTGAGCCACAACCCCAGTCCCTTTTTATACTTTTTATTCCATTTTAGGTTTATTATAATTTTCTTAGAATATGTACAGGTAGATAGACTGAAGTTGTGGATATTACTGAAAACCTGGGATTTTGGAGACTCATTTTTAAAAAGATTATAAAGGGAGTTATACCAGGTTTTATGCTGTGGGATTTTCCTGAGTGCCATGTAACAAGATGCCAAGAAGAGGTCAGTTCAGTTCCTCATGCTTTGAGACTGCAGGGGGATCATTTTACCATCTCTCCTCAAGACCTAAATATAAACCGTTACATTGTGGAGTTGGAGTGTCGTCCTATTATGCTGGGAGGCTTTATTTCTTAAAAACTGATCTAGTGCCTTGGAAAGAGAGAAATCATTGGAAACAGAGGGTGGACCCTGAAAGATCACATCCATATTATTTGAAATATTTATATAATAAACAATTAGACTAGAATGAAGGTCTGGGACAAGTATAGGACTGGCAAGATCCTGGCTTTGACACCAGCCTTTGCCCCTAATCCCTAAGGCAGTAAGAGTGACAGCATATCAGTCTCTAAGGCAGTAAAGGTGGTAGTTCAAGATGTCCAAAGGCCTCTGTTAGAGATACTGGAGAAAGAGATCAGAGAAATCAACTAATGTGGTTATAAAATTCACTTGTTTATTTTATTATTTTGTGGTACTGAGAATTGAACCAAGGGTGCTCTACCACTGCATCCCCAGTCCTTTTTGGAGACATGGTCTTGCTAAATTGCCCAGGTTGGCCTCAAAACTTGGTGATCCTCCTGCCTCAGCCTTACAACTCACTGGGATCACAGGCATGCACCACCGTGCCCAGATCATTTATTTATTTTTATATAGGTTCCAAATGGCTTGAGTAAATTATTTTTATGTTTGGTGTAGGAATTGAGCACCTGGTCTCATGCATGATGGCCAAGTGTTCTACCACTGAACTATATACCCACAGCCCTGCTTGAACAACTTAAATAACAAACTGTTAAATAGATTTCCCATGTGAGATTGGCAAATTAATTCTTTCTTCATAAAAAAGTACTTATTAAGACCTCTGTGTCAGGCATTGGGCCAAATTCTGGGGATAAAAATGATTGCAAAAATATCATCAAAATATATTGTTAGGGCATTTTCTTTTGATTAAGAAAACGCCCTCACAAATGGTGAAAGTGTATCAATGTCCATTTGCATTATTCATGGTTAAGATGATTACAGAATTTGAAGTGCTCCTTTTTACCTCCATTTTTGCTCTGCTGCAAAAACTTAGATGTTTTCTGATGAAGAGGACCCACTCTTCCACTTTCCCATCAAGAGTTCCACACAGAAAGGCCTGTAGGACAGCAATCAAAAGTTGTTGAAACTATCCAAGGCTTGTGTCAACTGAAAATGGCCAGGAACCCTGTAGGCTCTTCTGGAATGCGAGGAATTTTTAGGTAGGGAAAGGAAGAAAAAGCCAACAGGAGCCAAGTATCCTGGATCAACTCATTTGGAGTGCAGAGCAGAACTTTCAGCTAGGAGTGTCAGGGAGCACAAAGGGGTCACACAGCTGAGCCAGGCCAGGCAGATGCGATTCTTCCTTAGAGGCTCTGGAATCCCTTTGGCTACCATGGCTGCCCTGCAGTGTCATGCACCACTGTGATGCTGGCAGCCACACCAGGTCTTGCTTTGTCCAGCCAGTTCTCCACTGGACTCTGCCATGAGAGCGCTGTCCCTGGCTTACAGCCTCCTGGAGTAGCCTCAGCAAGAGGCACGGAGGCACGGAGTTCTGGGGCTACAGCCTTCTCACCCGTCCAGTCTTAGTTCCGTTATCTCTCTCCTATGAAGCCTGCTTTGATTTTCTGACTAAGTTTTCTCCCTTCACAACTAGCCCTCTCCTCTGCCACTGAGTACTCTCCCCCATTATTTGTGTGTCTGGGCTTCATAGCTAAGCCTCTGGAGGGTGGGCTCCCCATTGGATTCACCTGTGAGTCCCCTGAGGATCACATACTCACCCAGCAGACACCAGGCACTCAGAATGACGTAAACGCACTATCGGACAATCTGATGGTGAAGGCTGTGCTTTCTAAAATGGGTAAGTGGTGGGTCCCTACTGGTCCCTAATGTGGAAGAGCAGGGCTGCTCATGGCCTAGGAAGGTAGGTAGGGAGGGAGGGCAGGCATGGCTGGGGACAAGGCTGGGATGGGGGCTGTGACTGCAGCAGGTCAAGAGTCCGAATACTGAGCGTGCTGGATGGAGTGTAGCTCTTCATGTCATCACCAAGCAACTCGAAACTCTTTGTTCCACATTTCATTAAGATGCCAAACCATTTCCTTAGCACAAACAGCAAATTCTCTATGAAGGACTTTCTTTAATGTCATTTTACTGAGAAAACAAAGCAGGCAGGTCAGCAACTTGTGCCCTCATTTCACATGCTGAGCCATGAGCCAGGTGGGCAAGGGACCTAGCCCTGTCCTTTTTTCTTCAGGTGGTGGCCTCCTTGGATCTAGGGAGCACCAGAAATGGTTTCTTTTATAACTTTATTTTATCCATTTTTTTATGTGGTGCTGAGGATCGAACCCGGTGTCTCACATATGCTAGGTGAGTGCTTTACCACTGAGCCACAAGCCCAGCCCAGAAACAGTTTCTTCCTCCATCTTCCTGAGAGCACACTTGGTGGCCATAAGAAAGAAGCCAGTTGCATTATCAGCACCTGTCATTTCATAGGAAATCAGTGTTTCAAAGAACACTTTTGGTCTCCTGTAAGTGCAAACTGCTGTCATTACTCAAGCAGCTTGACTGGGACTGTTGTGTTTCACAGCTCATTACGCTGGTGCAGGAGGAGGCCAGGAAGCATCACCTCGCTGACTTTGGCTGGCTGGCAGCCGTCTGTGAAGTCTCTCACTGAACTTCGCTTGTGTGGTTTTATATAGAAATGCAGGTGAATGAAGTTAATAAGATATCAAATGACAGAGGGATTTGAGTTCCTGCAGGGACCAAGTTTAGTTCATTTAAAATTAAAAAAAATTTGAATTTCTATTCTTCATGAAAACTTAGCTTTAAAATATAAATCTACTGCAGATTAAGCTACCGTATCTGGGGTTCTTGTCACAGGAACAACACTGGTATTTTCACTATTTTATAGATGAGGAACATCTGGCATACTGAGAAAAGCATCTATCCCAGTTGTTGGAGACTCACTAGGGAACCAAGAGATGGTCCATATTCTTGCCCAGACAACCAAATTACACTTGCCAAGACTTTTACAATTTACAAATTGTGCAAAGAATGAAATACAAAATACCTCAGAAACTATAACCTCTTTAGGAACTAAACATTTTTGTGTCTGTATTAAAACCCACACACACCTGGCATCACATCGGACACTTTTTCATTTTCAATAGATGACAATTTTAGTAGTTCTAGAAATACCAAAAAGATGGTATCAAAATGTTCCGCACATTGGAAACCCTCCCCCAAGTAATCTCCATGCTTGCCCAGTGCAGATGCTAGTCATCACAGAGACCGAATGAGAGTGGGACTAGAATTCTGAGCCCAGTGGGGAAGGAAGACCACTCCCAGTGGGGAAGGAAGACCACTCTGCAAGGCCAGGCCAGAAGTACTTCCTCTGGTACTGGCACCTGGGACTGCGATCCACTTTGCAGAGTCAGAGCCTCGCCCAAGCAGCACTCAGCCTGTCTCCTCCACGGGGAACAGCAGTGGTCAGGGAGGACCGGAGTGGGAGCTTTTGCTTAGTTTTCTCAGAAACGCATTCCCTGCAGAGGCCTGTAGCCAAGTGGTTAGGTCCACATAAGCAAAGGGCTTCTGTAAGGCTGAGCTGGGGTCTGCTCTAGGGTAAAAAGGGGCACCAATAGAAGCTGATATTTAGCCCAAAACCATCACTTCATTTAATTGTCAAGAAACTCTTAAAAATAAACATGTTATTCCTTTAAGTTTAACATGTTTATTTTGCTCAGACTGTTTAGGGTGCATTTTGTTGTGTCTAAAAATTTTCAGTAGGGGATAAGAAGAGATTCACAGATGGAATCTCAAATTTACAGCATATAATTTGATTCTTATATACACATAATCAATCAATATTGGGTCATTGCACACACAACATTTTTCACACTGCATTAACAAACACTACTGAGCATGAGTTATTTTAATACTGATGTTTTTATGATTAGTTTTATTAACAGTACAACATTTTCATGCATTATGAAATTTCACAATATTTGATTTAGTTGAAATCAACAAATATTCAAACCCACATGAGAAAGAATGAAATGAGATTACCTTTTCATATAAACAGTTAAATTCTAAGAGTAAAAGTTAATATTGGGATTTAAAAACATAAATTTCCAATGCTACTGTCAATTCAATCATAGGTGTACTGCTCAGGCCACAGGACTGCCCATTAGTCGTTCCTGTCGGAGAGCAATTAATCTCTTGAACCACTTTTCCTCAGCTTCTGCTTTCTCTATAAATAACTGAAATAGAAAAGGGAAAGGAAAGTGTTACTGCCTACCAATTACTTTGACCACACATGAACCTTTGTGGAAGACCTCTCTCAGCACAGGTCTGAATACTGTTTAGCACCAGAACTACTTCATTAAAGTCCATCTGTTGGGAATGAATAACGTTCAGAAGGTCTTGAGAGGACTAATGCTGGCTAACAAGTTGTACCTCCAGTGTGAGTTCCTCTGTCACAGAGATAGCCACACACCACATCTGTGACTCGCTCACAGCCAAAGGAGGAACTGCGGCTCAGCCAGAACTAGGAACTTCAGCCTCTTTATTAAAAAGCTCTTCTTTTCACCTGTTTCTTAAGCACAACATACTTCCAGAAGTCGGGCCACATGAGCTGGGCCATGCCAGATTCAAATCCATACCACAAGTCTCAGGGCTGGAGACTAGATGCCTACGCTTAGCAAAGACGACTCAGGAACCCATGTCCTCCAATGGCTATCTTGGTGAAGAATAAAAGGACACCAGTCTGGACTGACTTCAGCTAACTAGACTTCAATGGACACCCCCAGGCTCTAGGGTCTTACATTTGGATGAGCCAGAGAGTTGTCGTCTTGGTACTTGATAGCAGTGGGGATGGCAGGGTCTACTTCCCGTTCAGCACTGGGTGGGTCAGCAACTACTGATGCTGGGCCTGCTGTTGAAGTCGCATGTGTCACTTCACTAGGCTCCACCACCTGGAAGATGCAGCACATGTTGATTTAGACAAGAGCTTTAACAATATTTCCAATGGTGAGTAACTGCTGTCTCCTTTAAGATGCTATTCATGCCCAAAAGGTCCTACATTACTGAATGAGAAGCAATTATTCCTTAAACAAATTATTCCTTAAAACAAATAGAAAAATGTGGAAGAAATGCTTACTATTTCTGATGATCAGCATATTTAAAAAAACTGGTGCTTATCAGCCTATGCTACTGAAATATCTTATCTGTCCATGTATCTATCTATCCTGTGTCTAAATTCTAATAAATAAGCAGGCAACAAACTGCCAGTATTACTTGACCTCTTAGCCATAAATATGCAAAACCAAAGGTTCTCTCTAAAACACAAATTTAACCTATTCAGACATGATTCCATATCACAAAATTCACCCATCTAAAGTGCATAACGTGATGGCTTTTGGCATATCCATACTATTATCACACACAACTTGACAGAATTTTCACCATACCCTTCCGCCCGACATGTTAACAACCATCCCCCTCCTTCCACCTTCTCATTCCTCTGTAGCCAAATAATCTACCTTCTCTATTGATCTGTATTCTGGATATTCCATCTTCCATTGTATGGATCTATCAGATTTTATTTATTCATTCATATCTTGATAGACTCACAGCCTGTCTTTTAAGGTTACTTAAGATGTTTAAAATATAAAAAGGTTTTGAAGAAAAGTACATCATATCTTGGTAAGAAATAAAGCCATAATCTACTACATCATCTTGCAAACTAAAGAATTCTTTCCACAATGACTGATTGTTCACCAAGTGCCATATACTATGCCACGTGCAGCAGACACAAATTCTAGTGAATCAGCGTTCCTGCCTTGAGGGAATCAGCCATGTGGTGCTTAGTCAGTAAGCTCCAACTCCGTCCTCCCTGGAAAGGCGGTGACCAGGGAGGTGACTGGTCAGCATCAGGTAGCAAGAATAATATTCAATCAGAATCGCCTATTGTTTCCAATTTCCATTTTCTTCTGGCTTTTTGTTTTTGGTACTGGGGATTGAACCTTAAAATATTTTACCAGTGAGCCTTTTTTTTTTAAATCTTGAGATAGGGTTTTGCTAAGTTGCTTAGGGGCTTGCCAAAGTGCCCAGGCTGTCCTTGAATGTGCGATCCTCCTTCCTCAGCCTCCCAAGTCCCTGGGATTACAGGCATGTGCTACTACACCCGACTTTTTTTGACTTACCTACTTTTAATCATTCACCTTTCTGAATGAAGCATAAAGTAGATGTCACTGGGAAACATGTCCAGGGAATGGACTGTGTATGAAGTAGCTAATCCTTTCTCAGATGTTATTTACCTTAGGATTGGAGACCTGTCTACTTACCTGCACTGGGGAGCACTGACAACTGGGGAGCACTGACAACTGGGAAGCACTGGGCACACAGAGAGAACAAGATAGATATGCCCCTGGCCTGACTGCAGGTCACATGCTGTGTGGAGTTGGCAGATTACAAACATATACACCAGCATAAAGACATATTCCAGAGTGCAGTGCTTCCTGTCAGGGTATCATCAAGGGGTTGGCACTGAGAATGGGGACCAGGGAGGGCTTCTACTTTAGACTGGGGAACAGGGGATGCCATTTCTTAAGAGGCACAGTTCAAGACCTGAGAGTGAGATGGAACCAGGCATGGGAGGAGGGAGTGCTTCGGCCAGAGGAAATAGTGAGTGCCCTGTGAGAAGGAGACAGAAAGGAGTCTTGAGGGCAGCACACAGTGGGAAAAGAGACAGTGAACACTGTAGTCAGGATGAGGGATATGCCACCACTCCACAGGCTGTTGCTTCCAGGGCCACAGCAGGAAACTGGTTCTAGGTGGAGAGCTGGGCTTTCCTCTGGTTCCTTCCCTCAGGGTCGCCAGGTTGTGCAGCCTGCCATGTGATGCCCGAGCACTGAGCTTCATGCATCTGCTCAAACTGCTGCTAGTGATGGGAGGGCACGCCTGACAGCAGTTGTTCTGTGGCAGCCAGGGACAGAAGTCAACTCCTGATGCCAAGATCCTCATAAAGTATTTTACTCAATTAAAAACAGGGCATTTACTTTTATGATAGTGGAAGCTGGGCCATGTTCACCGGAGAGATTAACGCTCTAGAAGACAAAAGGACCCTGACGGCAGATCTCTGGGCAGTCATGAAGGTGTCCAGGAACCCTTACTTTTCAAATCTGGAGGTGTTTATGAATACTACATCAAACAATGAATGATACTATGTTTATCACAATGTTACTTACAGATATTTTAAGGACATGTTTATTAAATCTGACTTAGTTAAAAGTACACTGAAGGGGCTGGCGATATAGCTCAATCGGTGGAGTGCTTGCCTTGCATGCACAGGCCCTGGGTTCAATCCCTAGCACCACAAAAAAAAAAAAAAAAAAAAAAAAGTACACTGAAGCTGGGACAGTGGTGCACTCCTGTAATCCCAAGGGCTTAGGAGGCTGAAGCAGGAGGATATCGAGTTCTAAGCTAGCCTCAGCAATTTAGCGAGGCCCTAAGCAACTGAAAGTGACTCTGTCTAAATAAAATTTAAAAAGGAGTTAAGGATGTGGCTCAGTGGTTAAGAACCCCTGCATTCAATCCCTGTTATGGGGAGGAGCACAGGGTGGGGGTGGAGGGGTGGTTAGAACCAGCCTAGGTGTCCATCAACAGATGAATGGATAAAGAAAAAATGTATACATGCACAATGGAATTTTACACAGCCACAAAGAAGAATAAAATTATGTCATTTTCAGGAAAACAGATGAACCTAGAGATCATAATTTTGAACAAAATAAGTCAATCAGAAAAGTTGTATGTTTTCTCTCATATGTGAAAGCTAGAAGGAAAAAAAAGTGGGGGAGGGAGGAAGGCCATGAAATTAGGAGACCAATAATTCTATCTGTAGGATAGAATTCAGGCTTTGGGGAGGGGAGATACTGGGGAGTAAAATTGGATCAATGAATATGACATGCAGGAATGAATATGCCACAATGAAACCCACCATTCTGCAAAATAAATATGCACAAATAAAAAAAATAGAGACAAGCTGGGCACAGTGGAGCATGTCTGTAATCACAGTGACTCTGCAGGCTGAGGCAGGAGGATCTAAAGTTGAAAACTAGCCTTAGCAACTTAGTGAGCCCTGAGAAATTTGGACTGCATCTCAAAATAAAAAATAAAAAGGGCTGGGGATGAGGCTCAGTATTTAAGTGTACTGGATTCAATCCCTAGTACAAAAAACAACAACAAAAAAGACAACTTCAGAGAAACATGGAAAATATAGATGCCATCAGCACCCCAACACTCACATGATATTACCAGAGGACTGCAGAGAAGGCACAAGGAAAAATATTCAAAGAAATAATAACTGCAACTTTCCAGAATTTATTGAAGAATAATAAATTCAGGTATGTTATAGTGCAAATTTATAATTAATTCTAGGTATGTCAACAAATTCAAATTAGGGTAACCACAAAGAGACCCACCAACATGTTATAGTAAAAATACTGGAAGTTGAAAACAGGAAGAAAATCTTGAGAGCAGCAGGAGGAAAGTGTCACTTACAAAGGATCCCCACAACAGTAAGGCAGACTTCTCAACTGAATTAGTAGGTACTGAAGTAATCAGACAGTGTGTCCAAAGTACCCAGCCAGGAGCGATGACCAAGAGCTCTGTATCTAACATCACTACTATTCAACAGCAGAGGTAGAAAATAAAGGCATTCTCAGAATAAAATTGAGAGTCTTCCAGCAGACCCAACATACAAAAAATATAAAGGAACTTCTTTAGGCTGAAAGCAAGTGACCACAGGTGACCATCTGAGTCCACATGAGAGCAAAAACATACAAAGCTATACTATAGGGGACTCATGCAATGAGCAGATTTTAGGCCCCAGAGCAAGTACGCAGGAGAGGTGACCGTGAAGTGACAGTGTGTCCACTTTCTACCACTGTGTGCACACCGCAGCATCATATATATCTGAAACATTCACAGTAAGGTTCTTTAGAAGTCTTGGTTTGGCAGCTCTTACAGTTTGGAATGAACACCTGCACTCCCAACTCCAGGTTTCAAACATTTTTTATTCTTCCAAACACTGCGTCCAGGAGTTCATGGCCTTAATGATATCTTGACCCTCATACCACTGGGGATATCTAACCACAAAGCTCAGAGTTGTGCTTGGGGAAGGAAGTGTGGCAACCCAGCAACGTGGGAGGTCAGCGCTTAGCCGTCTGTGTGGTCTGCGAGCTACAGAGTCTCCATGTAACATGGCTCAGCAATGCTCCCACCGCTGAGCTAATAGCTTCTATGCTGAACAGCCTAGATAAGAGGTGGAGTGCTGCTATTCTAGATGCCAAATCCATGGAGCCCTGCTCTTCAAATGGAGAGACAACAGCCTATCGTATGTCAGGTTCATCTCATTCTGTTTTTGCCTGTGGGGTACATCAACAATTATTTCTGAGAAGTACATATAAACATACAAAGTGAAGCTCTCAAAGGCTAGAATCAGAACGTGGACATTATTATTTAACAACATGCAGTTTAAAAATGTGGGGATAATCATGAATAGCCTTTTTATTTAAGTGAAGAAAAATGTAGAAGAAAATTTTGCCTTGATTCTAAAACCTCAAAATGGGGCCCAGGAAACTTCTGGATTTGGGTGACACTGCCACCTGGTGGTTCAGTTTGAAAAATTCGGCTTTACAAGGTACTTCAAGCTGAGGACAGAAGCTCACAGGGCCTCGGCTCTTGAGCCCCCTCTAGCGCACAGATGGGCTATCTGCCAGAGATAGGACCTGAGGCTTGAATAACTGACACCAAACAGCAGTTTGGAAACGAGCTGTATCCTGGCTCCTAAAGTTAAGGATACATCAGGATCTATCAGATCCCCTGTCTACTCAGGCCAAAGAAATGCTTTCAGAAAGTTAAACTAGTTAGATAAACATGTCACAGGAGACACAGTGTCTGGAACGCTTTTGGTATCAGCTCCCTAGCTTGATTAGTGGAATTTGCCCAGCTTTAGAATGACTGTGCCAGCTGAGGGGCAGCCAGCACAGAGCAGCCTTCTTCAGAGACACGGACCTCACACCCATGAATGAACTGTCCACAAGAGGAATGAGTGGACAGCAGTCCTCAAAGTTATCTTGCCATGCACTAGGGACAGCCTGAGATGTTCCCCATGATCTGCATCCATCCTTGAGGTCCTCACTTCTCTTTGCTAATCATCTCCTGATACACAATTCACCTTCTTGGGCACCTTGAATCCTTGGTAAACACTGCAGACATGAGCATTTCAGCTCTTTTTTAGATGCTACTGTTTGCCTATCACTGGTCTTCTGGTCATTTGGAAGTGTGGGCACTCAGCCGGATGGCTGAGACTCCAGACTGTACCTCCACCAAGGCAAATGCCATTCTGAGGCTTTCTGGTGTGTTCTCCTGTTGACACCACTTCTTACCTTTCAAAGCACACTTTCCTGAAGGAGAGGCACTGAATTAAAAATAAGTTTAAAGTGAAATATTATTGGGTCAAATAGGAAAAAGTCATTTAGAAGAAAAGACAGTATATTAAATATAGAGGAGTAAACATTTCCATGAAGAGAAAATGCTAGCTGATTAGAACAGAGTCCAGTATGAACTGAGAAGTCAAGGGAGTTTCAGGAAACAGATACCAGAAGAGCAAATTTAAAAATAAATTACAGTAATTCTATTAGGACAGATGAAAGTCCTTACAATATGCAAAAGTAATGTGTTAAGTAAGATGGGTGACTGTAGCTATGAGTGTCCATTTCACAGTTGCAGGTTTAGGAGGTGCAACAGTTAATCACCAGAAGCCAAAGATGATCCACCCCTCGACAGCATGGGGACTGTGGCGCTGCAGCACCTGGCCCTGCGGGGGCACGCATGCCCAACTCACATCTTCTGGAGGGATGACTTCAAGAGTGTGTGGAAATAAAAACTTCCACCTCACCTGTGATGGCAAAGGTGCCCACCAGGTCAGAAAGAGTGAGATGGGAGCGCCTGACAGCCTGCAGACCAGCACAGAAGCAGAGGCACCTTGCACTTTGGGTGGAATTTGAGTTGGCACAATGGTTTTGGCAGATAACTTTGGAAACATATTAAACAATATAATCTTAAATAAATAACTTCATCTTGAAAAAATGTATTTTGAGGGGATAATAATGGATATTTGCAAACATGTATGTCATCTCTCTCTAAACATCACTAGTTAATTTCTAATATCAGAGGAAAAAAATGAATTATTACATTCGTCATCAAGGTATTATACAGCTGTTAGTACATCTGCACACATGCACTATTTTAGAATAGGGGGTAGCCATATCTTCTTTATATTAACATTATTAAATACTATTTGTTTTTTCCAGAATCTTTTTCTAGTAAAGGATTGTAAATTTCTAAATCTATCCTTACTAATGAGAGAATGAATATATGGAAAACTCAACAGAAGCAAAATGTAGTTCAAAAGTCCTTTAACTGGAGCTGAGTGAAGTACCTCAGGACAAAAAACAGATACGTGCTACTGTTGGGGTAATAGTTTCATGATTTAAAGTCCTTTCCTAACTTTTTCTGGGAATGTCAATTTAAAAAAAAGATGTATACATTTGAAAAGAAAACTGCTATGTTCATGAAATGCATATGACTGTTTCAGAACCATCTTCTAACATCTTTGTCTTCTTTGGTAAATTTAAAATACACATCAGATCCATTTGTGCTCTCTACTTCTGCATGGGCTAATCTTGCCCTGAATTCAGTGATTTACTCTGGCCCTCCTTAACCTGCAATAAGCAGCACTCACAGCCAAGACTGAGGCCCTCCTGGGCTGGAGTCGGGCCAACTCAATGCTTGTGTGGGCTTACCTTTCTGATTTCCTTACTTGATCTGAATGTCTGCTGGATGAAAGAATCACTTTCGATGGCTTCAATTTCTTTCACTCGTTTTACTTGTTCTCCCAAGGTGGCTTGGTCTAGAAGAAAGGATGTAATATTAGTGTATTTTGGTGTAAGCTTGTCAATACTATACTTAAGCAATGCTCTTTCTTTCTATGAAGTAACTCTATTGGAAATTAATTTAACAAAGAAGGTGGAAGACATTTATAATGAAAACTATAGAACACTGAAGAAAGAAACTGAAGAAACACAAGATGAAAAGACCTCCCACATTCATGGATGGGCAGAACTACTATTGTCAAAATGGCCAGACTACCAAAAGCAATATACAGATTTCTCATCAAAATACTAATGACATTCTTCACAGAACTAGAAAAATCAGTTCCAAAATTCATTTGGAAAAATAAGAGACCCAGAAAGTCAAAGCAATCCTGATCAAGAAGAGTGATATAGGAGGCATCCCAATACCTGATCTCAAATTATACTACAGAGCTGTAATTACAAAAACAGCATGGTATTGGCCACCAAAACAGGCATGAAGACTAGTGGAACAGAAGTCGCAAACACACACAGAGATAGCCACCTGGTACTTGACAAAGGTGCCAAAAATATATGTTAGAGAAAATATAGCCTTTTAAACAAATGATGCTGGGAAACCTGGATATCCATATGTAGAAAAATGAAACTAGATCCCTATCTCTTACCTCACACAAAAGTCAAATGAAAGTCTACCAAAGATTTAGGAATTAGAGAAGAAATTCTGCAACTGCTAGAAGAAAACATGAGCTAAACAATTCAACATAGTGGCACAGGTGTTGATTTCCTTAGCAAGACCCCTAATGCTTAAGAAATAAAAACAAGAATTTAATTGAGTGGGACAGTATCAAATTAAAAGCTTCTGCACAGTAAAGGAAATGATAAATAATTTTGAAGAGAGAGCCTACAGAATGGGAGAAGATTTTTGCAAGCTACTCTTCAGTTAGGGGATCAATGACCAGAATATATAAAACTTGAAGACTTAAAACACACACACACACACACACACACACACAGACACACACTCAAAATACCCACAATAATAAAATGGGCAAAAGAAGTAAACTGACACTTCTCAAAAGGAGAAACACAAATGGCCAACAAATGCATGAAAAAATGTTCAACATTCTTTTTTTTTTAAGATGGACACAATATCTTTATTTATTTTATTTATTTTTATGTGGTACTGAGGATCGAACCCAGAGCCTCACATGTACAAGGCAAGCGCTCTACAACTGAGCTATAACCCCAGCCCTCAACATTCTTACCAGTTAGGGAAATGTATATCAAAACTACATTGAGATTTCATCTCACTCTAGTCATTTGTGGCAGCCATAATATAAATGCTGACAAGGATGTGGGGGAAGGGACACTCATACATTATTAGTGGGACTGCAGACTAGTACAGCCACTCTGGAAAGCACATGGAAATTCCTCAAAAAAAAAAAAAAAAAAAACTTAGAAATGGAACCACTGTATGACCCAGATATCCCACTCTTTCGTATTTCTCTAAAAGAACTAAAATTAGCATACTATAGTGATAAGGGCATATCAATATTTATAGCAGTGCAATTCACAACACCCAAGTTATGTAACCAGCCCAGGTGCCTGTCAGTGGATGAATGGATAAAGAAAATGAGGTATACATACACAATGGAGTTCTATTCGGCCATAAAGTAGGATGAAATTATGGCATTTTTTGGTAAATGAATGGAACTGGAGAACATCATGCTAAGAAAAAAAAAAAAAACATTTGAGAAAATCAAGGGTCAGATGTTCTCTCATATGTGGAAGCTAGATCAAAATAAAAAAACAGAAAAGTGGTGTTGGTGGTGGTGGGTTCATAAAGATAGAAGGAAGATCAGTGGATTAGGAGGAGATGGAGGGTGAAGGGACAGGAAAGAGAAAAAAATATGCTATGTGCGTGTATAAATATACCACTGTGAATTCCATCTTTATGTATGGCTATAAAGCATCAATTAAAAACATACTGATCATTGTAATGTTTTGAGCAACTAATAAAAAAATTAAAAGAGAAAAAAACATACTAATGAGTGCAAGGTAGATCAGTAGAACAGAGGAGGAGGGGGGGGGACAGAGGAGGGGAGGGACATACATGATTATGTCAAAATGAACCCAATTTTTATGTACAACTATAATGCACCAGTAAGAGCAAACAAATGAACAAGCAAAATAAACAGAAAGAAAAGAAAAAAATTAACTGGATGAAAAGACATTATATTATAGTTAAGCTATAATAAGAACTTTTTCTCTTGAGACTCATGTCATGCTGTTACCCTTAAGTACCTTGGTTGGTATTGCTAACAGATAAGGACTTTGACAACCTATCTGTAGTATCATTTTCACATTTGGACATACTATAACACATCCATGCAAAATGTGAATGACTGTCTAGCAGAGTCTTCACTCGGCTCATGTGAACTGGGGTACAAACAAGGAGTATGCCCCTCACACCTTCAGTTCCTTTCTACTATATACAGTGTACCATGCTTCTCTTTCACAGCCATATACTGGTCCAAGGAACTGGATTGTTCCACACAATGTCCTGTATTGTGGATCTGATTGACTTTATCTCAAAGGATCATTTAACCTATTATGGAAAGCATTCAGGTTCAATTTCCTTTGGTCAAAAACATACTGTGGGAGCCACAGCTTAAGTCCCCACATGTCCCACTAGCTGGTGCTTCTCCCACTCTTAGTGATGTTAAGATTGACCAGAGTTCGTCTAATCTTCTAGTGCTTCCCCTCCCTACTCCACTATGAATCAGACTCCTTATATCAGAGAAAACATTAGGCATTTGTTTTTTTGAGTTTGGCTAACTTCACTTAGAATTATATTCTCCAACTCCATCCATTTACCTGAAAATGTCATGATTTTATTCTTTTGTTGCTGAGTAATATTCCATTGTGTATATATACCACAATTTCTTTATCCATTCATCTACTGAAAGGCATCTAGGTTGGTTCCATGCTTTAGCTGTTGTGAATTGTGGGGCAATAAACATTGATGTGGCTGTGTCCCTGTAGTATGCTGTTTTTAAGTCCTTTGGGTATAGACTAAGGAGTGGGATAGCCAGGTCAAATGTAGTTCTATTCCAAGTTTTCCAAGGAATCTCCATACTGCTTTCCATATTGGCTGCACCATTTTGTAGTCCTACCAGCAATGTATGAGTGTACCTTTTCCCCCACATCCTCACCAACACTTATTGTTGTTTGTATTCTTAATAGCTGCCTTTCTGACTGGAGTGAGATGAAATCTTAGAGTAGTCTGATTTGCATTTCTCTAATAGCTAGAGATGTAGAACACTTTTTCATATATTTGTTGGTTGATTGATTGTATATCACTTCTGAGAAGTGTCTGCTTAGTTCCTTTGCCCATTTATTGATTGGGTTATTTGTTATTCTAGATAGGGCAAAGGGGAGGGAGGGGAAGGGAGAGAGCAAGGGGTGTAAAAAAGATGGTGGAATGAGATGGACATAATTACCCTAAGTACATGTATGAAGACATGAATGGTGTGAATATACTTTGTGTACAATCAGAGATATGAAAAACGTGCTCTCTATGTGTAATATGAATTGTAACACATTCTGCTGTCATATATAGCAAATTAGAATAAAAATAAAATTAAAAAAAAAGATTGACCAGCCAGAGCCTCCACCATAAAATTCATCAAACTTTCACTTAATGGTTCCAGTAATGTCGATGTTTGGTTCTCAGATCAATTATTTCATTAGAGGCTGTGAAATGGTAGCTTTCTAATTCTAGTATTGTTCCTGCCTTTATCAGCTCTGACTCTTCTGTAATGAAGAGCTTATCCTATTTGGTGGCCCTGAAATACAGCCTATATAGAAAAGTCATAAAAGTCATAAGAAAGGCTTGATTCTTTCCCTTTTTTAAAAATCAATTTTGGTCTGGACATGATCAAAAACAACCACTATGAATTCAGAATATTTATAGGCCCACTATATTTCAGTCCTCAGTAAGTAGTTCCCCATGTTCGTGCTTGAAATGCTCCAAGTGGTGCCTGATCCCTGGTAGTTACAAGGTGTGGCAACACAACCCAGAATCCTCTTAATTTCTTGCCCCAGCCCTGAAATGAGCCATTGCTCTGAAAAGCCTGGACTCCTTTTGATGGGGAATGACATTCAGAGACGATAACCTGGCATGGAGGGTGTCACTGCTACTGAACCGCCATTGCTCCTGAGTCTTCCTAGGGGTGGGATAAGATATATACTTTCAAAGCAGAAGAATAAATATGAGTTCATGCTGATACTGCCAACCAACCAAAGATCAGAGGATTCATAGTCTTTTAAATTTACATATTTTTCTGCTACTCTAAAAATCTTAGGTCTTAATAACACAATTGAAAGTACTCATTTGTTTTTCCTTGTGAATATGTATTAGTTTCAAATAACAAGATAATCATTGATACTGGCAACAGATTTATTAACACGGTATAATTTTCTTTGGCAATACTAGGGACTGAATCCAGGGCACTTCACCACTGGGCTACATCCCCAGCCTTTTTCTTTTTTATTTGGAGACAGGGTCTCATTAAGTTGCTTAGGACCTTGCTAAGTTGCTGAGGCTGGCCTTGAACTTGTGATCCTTCTGCCTTAGCCCTCCCAATTCTCGCAATTATGCTAGAAATTTGATGTAGGTTCGTTTGTTTAATTTGTTTTGATTTTTTAGGTCTTGCTTGGTGATAATGATTTTTTTAAAAGTATTTTTTAGTTGTAGTTGGACACAATGCCTTTATTTTATTTACTTATTTTTTATGTGGTGCTGAGGATCGAAACCAGGGCCTCCCCTGTGCTAGGTGAGTGCTCTACCGCTGAGCTACAACCCCAGCCCCTAATGTTTGTTTTTTAATTGAAAAAAACAATAATGTTTAGTTCAAACTTAAAATATCATCATGCAGAGATCTAGGTTTCTTTTCATATTCCATGGCTCCAGCTCTCTCTCCAATCCATAGGTAATCATTGTTATTAAGTTTAAAATTATCTTTCCATTGTTTAT